TTTTCCTCTGCTGCACCAATCTGCTGTGATTTTGTGTCTCATCTTGGGCCCAGAGCAATGGAGCTGGCAACTGAGACCTCTGAAACCATGAGATTTCCCCCTCTAAGATTGTTTTTGTCAAATCTTGGTCAAAGCAGCAAAACAACAACAACAACAAACCTAAACCCAAAACACACAAACTGACTACAACAGATACTGAAACCAAAGACACATCAGACAAAGAAAACTACAGACCAACATCCCTGATGAACATAGATACAAAAATCCTTAATATTAGCAAACCACATTCAAAAAAATATCAAGGTGATAATACACCATGATCAAGTGGTTTTCATCCCAGGGATGCAGGTTGCTTCAACATATACAAATCCATGCATATAATTCACCACATAAATATAATTAAGGATAAGGATCCAGGATAATTTTGAAGAAGCAGAAATGGCCTTGGATAAAATCCAGCATACATTCATGTTAAAAATGCTGGAGAAAATATAGATAGAAGGAACTTACCTCAGCATCATAAAGGCTATATAAGACAAATCCAAAGCCAATATCATACTGAATAGAGAAAAACTGAAAGCATTTCCTCTAAAATCAAGAACAAGACAAGGAAAATGTCTCTTACCACTCCTATTCAATAAAGCTCTTGAACTCTGCCAGAGTAATCAGGCAAGAGAAGAAAATTAAAGAAATACAAACATGAAAAAAGACATCAAATTTTCTGTTTGCTGATAACAAGATCCTGTATCTAGAAGACTCCAAACACCACCAGAAAACTGATAAATTCAGAGTTAATTTGATAAATTCAGCAAAATAGCAGGATACAATATCAGCATCATAAATCAATAGCTTTCCTATACTCCAACAGTGATTATTCTGAGAAAGAAATTAGGAAAACCATCCCATTCACAATAAGTTAAAAAAAAAATTGGACATTAATCTAACCAAGGAGGAGAAAGACATCTACAATGAATGTCACACAACACTAAAGAAACTAAAGAAGTCTTCAAGAGATGGAAAGACCTCTTCGTTCTCTTGCACAGGCAGAATTAATATTGTCAAAATACCCATACTACCAAAACCAATATACAGATTCACTGCAATCCTCATCAAAATACCAATGACAATATCCACAGAACTAGAAACAACTGTCCCAAAATTGATTTGGAACAACAAAAGACACAGAATAGCAAAGAAATCCTGAGCAAGAAGAGTGAGACTGGAGGTATCACAATACCTGATCTCAAATTATACTGCAGAGCTATAGTAACAAAAACAGCAGGGTATTGGAATCAAAACAGACATGAAAACCAATGAAATAGAAGACAAAAGAGAAACCTGCATACTTACAATCATCTGATACTTGACAAGGGTGACAAAAATATATGTTGGAGAAAAGATAGCCTTTTAAACAAATGGTGCTGGGAAACTGGATAACCATATGTAGAACAATGAAACTGTTTCTTTATCTCAACCTGTACCAAACTCAAAGACAAAGTGGATCATTAGAGTTAACACACTGGGGAACTCAAGAAATAAAACCAAGAAAGAAATAAGTGGGATGGATCCTAATTTAAAAGCTTCTACACAGAAAAGGAAATGATTAAGAGTATGAACATACAGCCTATAGAATAGGAGAAAATCTTTACCAGCTACTCCTCTGAGAGAGAATTATGTCCAGAATATAAAAGGAACTCAAAGAGCTTAACACCAAAAACAAAATCCAAATAACCCAATCAATAAATTGGCAAAAGGACTAAGCAAAAATATGAAAAACTGTTCAACATCCCTAGTATTCGGGAAAATGAGAATTAAAACTACACTAAGATTTCACCTCTCTCCAGTCAGAATAGTAATTATCAAGAATAAAAATAAGCTAAACTGTGGATGTCCTTCAGTAGATGAATGGATAAAGAAAATGTGGTTATATACACAATGGAATACTACTCAGCATTAAAAGAGAATAAAATCATGGCATTTGCAGGTCAATGGGTGGAGTTGTAACTTCATTGGCTAAAGGGTGGTTAGCCAATCCCAAAAAAACAAATGCCCAATGTTTTCTCTGATTTAAGGCTGCTGATTCATAATGGGGGGCATGGGAGAATTAGATGAATTCTAGATAGGGCAAAGGGGAAAAGGGGAAGGAGGGAAAGGGAAGGGACGTAGGGGTAGGAAAGGTGGTGGAATGAGATGGACATCATTACTCTAAGTACATGTTTGAAGACATGAATGGTGTGACTCTAGTTTGTGTACAACCAGAAATATGAAAAATTGTGATCTATGTGTAACACAAATTATAATGAATTCTGCTGTCATATATAATTAAAATTAAAAAGATAAAAAGAAGAATAAAATAACAAATTGCTTCTGAGGATGTGTGGGAAATATACTCCATCATTGTTGATGGGGCTGAAAAGTTGTACAACCACTCTGGAAAGCAGAATGGAGATTCCTTAAGAGAGAGGTGGGTGTAGACAGTAGCATGGACCTGAGGTGGTGGGTAGGAGGGACATGGAAGGGTTCAGAAATGTTACTACCTGAAGCCAACTGATTGCAGTTGATGAAAATGTTTAAAATAATACCCTTGTTTACTTTATGAGATGTACCCCCTGAGTCCCTTTTCAAATCTTTTAATGTGGCAAAATGTGTTAAATACATATTTTGTAATAAAGATGACTCTTTCAACCTAAAAAAAAT